AAGAAGCCTATAAATACCTAAGAGTCAATAAAAGAGATGGAATACAAATACCCAAATGAAGGAGAAAGTAAGAAAAGAATACTACAGGCATGTGCATCTAGTTATAAATACCAAGTTCACAAAACAGAATATCAGCCATAAACACTTTGGCTGTCCCTGTCAACATTCTTAATGGGACTATACCTGACATTAAGGAAATGGATGTCAAAATGAGAAAGCTTCTCACTTGCCTCTACATACATCATTCTGAAGATGAAGTTGATCATTTGTATGTACCCAGATCTAAAAGAAGGCAAAGGATTAGTTCAACTAGAACTGTCTTACGAAACCTCAACAATCAGTTTTTTTAAACATACATAGAAACTACAGAAAACTGGATGACGAACTGTGTCAAGGAACATGAAAGAAGTAAGAATATTATTTTCCAATAAAGGAAGCCTATAAATTCAAAGTGGAATTTGAAGTGGATTTAGGAGAGCAAATAAACCATAATGTAGTTACTGTAGTGACAAAGAATCTAAAAATGTAAGCAAAAGCAATTGCAATATGCCAAATGCAGAAATGATGATAAGATAAACTTCTTCATGGTCAATACTTTGCTCGTATCTAGCTAATGTAGACAAATCCCATAACCATCAGTGATTACATAGTGCAGAATTAAAAAGCAGAAACTGAAGGTTTTATTCTTGCTACACAGTGTAGCAATATGAGTCAGCTATTTTGTTAAATTAAAAAACAGCAGGCACTGTCACAAAAATCAATATGGAACATTTACTTTTGACAGATGGTTATCAGTAAGTGAAGTCAATTTCACAGTATAAGAACAAGAGGCTCAGTCTTAGAGAAAGTCACGGAAAGAATCTTAATTACTTTTAAGATGAAGATGACAAGACAAAGAAAACTGTTGTCTATAAAACTGACCATCCTGTGAAAAGTTAAGCAGAAGGAATGAAGTAGGCCTCACAGAATGGACATAGATGATGGCTGCTGAACTGTGTACCTTTCCATCACTTATATCACGGCTATACTTCACTTGCTTATAGCAGGAAGTTACTACTCAAGAATAAAATCTGGTTTAATGCTAGAAATTGTTTGTTTCTCACTTGTGGGTAATAATCTGGCCAAAGGATTATTTTTAAGCTACAAGTGTTTGACTAAAAGAAGCTGCACCCTGAGAATGACCCTGGGGTCTGGCCTGAGCTGCAACACAACACACAGGACAAATGATTGCTAACTAGAAATTACCAAGTAAACATACTGAAATATTGTGTCAACCTGAAATGCAGATTCTGTGATGAATATTCAGAAACAATTGACCGTCTTGTATTAGGTTGCATGGTATTAGCATCCACTGAATATAAAATTTGTCATGACATCTGCACTGGAAAATATACAACTTTTATGAGAAGGAAACTGCAAGAAATTGCTATGAACACCACCCAGACATTGTTACAGAGAGAGAGGACCTGTAACAATAGGACTTTACAATACACACAGATAGAACAATCAAAGCTAACCTCACAGCCATAGTGATTAAAGACCACAAAAACAGAATGTCCTTTCTTATTGAGATGACAATTCCTGCAGAGTATAATGTAGCTTTGAAGATCTACAAAAAATATCAAATACAAGAATGTTGAAATGGAAATCTAAAACATATGGTACATGAAAACATCAATAATTCTAGTTGTTGTTGGAGCCTATGGATTAATTGAAAAAGACTTATAGAAAGGATTCCTGGTAGCCCATGCCTTAAAAAATACAAGGAAGAAGAATAATTATAATCTTCTTGTTTTTCTTCTTTTACTATTATTATTATTTGTTTATGTTATGTTTCCTGCTTTCTATCCTATAGAGCCAGGTCCAAACTATAGTCCTTAGGCCATTATTATTATTATTATTATTATTATTATTATTATTTGTGTATATTATATTTCCTGCTTTGTACCTGTAGAGCCAGGTTGAAACTATGGTCCTTAGGCCCTATAGCAGAACTGACATTTAATTGATAGCATTTTTCTTAGTATATGGGATGTTCTTGGTAGGGCGATCTTCTGGGCAACTTGTATGTTGATGTTACCTGGGACACTGTTAGTAAAATTATCCATTCCTTTTCTCATGAGGCCCAATGCTCTGATTACTATTTGTACAGTCTCAGTCTTCATTCCCCATATCCTGTTAATCTTGATCTCCAGGTCTTTGTATTATTATTATTATTATTATCATTATTATTATTATTATTATTTGTGTATGTTATGTTTCCTGCTTTCTATCCTATAGAGCCGGGTCCAAACTATGGTTCTTAGGCCCTGTAGGAGAACTGCCATTTAATTGATAGCACTTTTCTTAGTATATGGGATGTGCCTGGTGGGGCAATCTTCTGGACAACTTGTATGTTGATATTACCTGGAACACTGTTAGAAAAATTGTTCATTTTTTTTCTCACAGTGTTGTTTTTATTGTCATTTTTTTTTTTTTTTGTTTCCTTAAAAAACATATTTCCATAATGTAACAAATACCATAGCATTAGCATTGTAGGCTAGTTTACAGATTTAAAATAATAATTTACAATATTGTCAAAAATGAATATATAAAAAATGATCTCTTTACAGGAGTAGAGGTTTATCCATTGTTTTTCTTCTTCTTAGGATTGGATTTCTGGATTTTTCCAGTCTTCTCATTTTTTTTTCATTCCCAGTAACCCCATGCATCTTAGAGCATTATTGCCTTGCATGGGGTGAATTGCTTAGAAAAAAAAATATTGCAAACCTTCTTCTCAGTAACAAACACTGATTATTGCAAATGAAACAAAATAAATATATTGATCTCCCAGTTGCTACAGTAAAACATCTGTTGGACACCTGTATAACTATTTCTTTTACTTCATTTTCATCTTCATTAAGTTGGTAGTTTGATTTTTAAAGAAATATGAACTGAACTTGAATTATACATAATAAAAATATTGTAACCATTGTTTAAGTCTTTGTTGAAGTCAGATGACATCAAATCTCCAAGCTAACTATACAATGAACTTTGGTGCCAATCAGTATATCACTACAGATGGGAAGACCAAACATTGGGAATTGCTATTGAAGAAGCATTTGCTATCAAAAGACAGGAATTATTCTCAGTAGACGATGATACTGTTCAACAAATAAAGAACTGCCTCAGTGATTTCTTTTCATCTTTATTCAGAGAAAAATGAATGCCTTTTTATACAGAGTTTCCAAGAGAGAAACATTTAGAGTGAAAAGGAGAAGGGTGTTGACAGTTAAAGACTTGCTGGAGACAGAGATATAAACAGAATTTCCAAGTGACTTTTCTTTTTCATCCACCCTTATTTAAATGCCACAATTACATTAAAAGGCTCTCAAATAGAAGAAGAAATATTTTTTTAAAAAAGCTACCCAAATTAATAATTAATAAAAACAATGGGAAATATTTTTTCAAATTACTTTAAAATATTTTTCATTCAATATCTCTATATTTTCTATGAATATTAAATGATTTAGTATAATAAAATTAAGGTTTTATTTGAATATTTTATTGGATTTTATTTTTTTCATTAACTAAAAATCTGCTAATATGATTTTGAGATATGGATCTAATACAAATATTTTCAACATCATCTTTTACACAATGTTAGGAAGTCTTAGAAGTGTACTGTGGAAATGACTCCTGCTTGTATGTCTTTTTATGTGTCATGACCCTTCAAGACGTAGGCAGTCAGGCTCTCTACAATTACCTGTCCTTTGTAGGTCTTAATAATTTTTTTCCTTTTATTATTTCTCTTAAACTTTGTTCTGCCATCCATTTACTCAATCTTGCTAGGTAAGAGATGCATTGTTTTCCTGTCTCTCTTGCTTTTGATCTGTCCTGTGAGTATCAGATTTTCCAATTTTTTCCATTTTTTCCAGTGAGTATCAGATTTTCCAATTTTTTCCATTTTTCTCCATTATGTGCCCTATGGATTTTAATTGTCCTCTTCCTGATGTTAAGTATAAGTTTCCTTTTTGTTTCTAAAACTTAGTCGTTGCTCACATATTCAGCTCATGGTATCCTCAGCATCCTCCTGTAGAACCACATTTCTGTTTCTTCAAGTTTCTTCCTCATCTTTAATGAGATTGTCCAGCATACACTGTCATATAGGAGGACAAATATCACATAGCAATTCAGTACTCTATTTTTTGTTTCTAACAAAATTTTTCTGGCAGGACTTTTCGATTTGTCTCCATATTTCCGGACTCGATACACTGAAAACACAAAATTTTTCTGTTTCTCAATACTCTGCTTAGCATTTGGAATTCATCTTTGGCTATCCTGATGCTTCTTCAGATTTCAGTGTCACACTTTCTGTCTTCTGTTAAATCATTTCCCAGATATTTAAATTGTACTTGTTTGGTTTTGGTATCTCCAAATTGTAATTTGTATGTTAGGCTATCCCTTTTGCTAACAACCATAAATTCCATCTTCTTGCAATTTATCCTTTAAATTCATTTTCCTTCATTATATTATGTAGGGATTGTTGTGGTTTCCTTCCTGTGTCTGCTATCAACACTGTCATTTGTATATTTTATGTTGTTAAGATTGTGTCCACAAATAATAAATCCTGGTAGGACTTCTAGTTCTCTCAGAATCACTTCATTCTTGCATGTACATTTACACATCAAATAAAGAGCCAAAAAATTACTAGCAGCTACCTAATGTACCACCTCTGAATAATATTGGCTACATGATGTGGAATGTAGTCTGTGAGGTGCTGGACTATCCATAATTGATCCGTGAACATTGGGTGTAGCTACAAGGAATTTATTAAGTTTTGTATTATATATGCTCAATAGGGTTTAAATGTGGTAAGAACATATCAATGGAGAAAAATGGGGGTGGGGAGGTTCATTATTTTGATGAAACAAATAAAAAATATTTTGCTGAAAAAAAATAACATTATTTTGCTGAAAAAAAAATGACATTATTTTGCTGAAACCAAATCAGCTGGAAACATGGTAAGAATAAAGAGATGGAAAAATGGTCTGCAACAAAATCTCTGTATAACACATTTATCAAGAAATATTCCAGTTTTACTAGAAATCCTTTGCAACGTTCATTAGAAGAATTTTGACACTCATATGAAATATTGAAGGCAAGAGAGACAGATAGAAACAGAGAGTAACTTAACTTATGTAAATAGATTGCAGAACAGGGAGTGGGATGTATAGTAAAAAGACAAACACTGGTAAGAGCTGAAAAAGGATAGCAAGTGATGGTAAGACATGAGCCCCAACCTTACAAAACCACAGCTTGCATAACATCCTGCTAGCAGTCTAGATCCATAGATACATGCAGTCTCCTTGACACTTGAATTTTTCTGTCTGCCCAAAAGAACCCAAAATGCAATTCATTTGACCAAATAAGATTGTACAAGTCTCTCATTGTCCAAAAGTTTGTATATTTTGGCTTAGGAGAGAAGCAGCATTATATAAATAACTATCCTTGTTGTGAGGAAACTATAGAATACCACAGAATGCAATGTACACCATAGAATATAATATATATAATACAAATTATTGATGATTTGAGTGATACTAACATTGAATTGGAATGTGGTCTTATGAAATGTTGCTCTATATTAAATGATTACTGTTCTTGTTAGTTGCTGATATCATCTATGGATGTCCACAGTTTTCAAGTGCTACTGAATTCTACCATAATTCATACACACTTGCAACTATTACCTGAGAAAAACCTAGAAGATTTACCATCTTGGAGATAGGGTGACTTATCTTTATCACCCCAACAATCATTCTCTCCTCAAGTGGTTTTCAATTCTCTTCATGCCCCATGGCTAACACAGTTTTACCTATTATATTACACCTTCATAATCTGGTTAAGACCAATTATAAAAGGGGGGGGGGTAACCTTTTAGATATTTGTCTTTAATATTTTAGCACTAAATTTAAGATCCAAGATGTTAACAGTCCTGTCTCAGAAATATGAAATTAAATCATTTTTAACAATCTTTGTGTCTATTAGGCCATATCATATTGAAACACCAATTCTCATCTGATCAACAAAGTTAAACAATGCCAATCCTTCTTAGTATCTATATCGACAACCAGTTGGGAATACCAGGTGCTGTAAGTCAGGATGTGTGTTGGATGTCATGGATAATAGCTTGTAATGAGAAATCAAAACATGAGTTTGAATTCCAGCCAGGTTCATTATATTCACTTACATGCAAATAATCTTGGGAAATGTATGAATCCATCTTTTCTTCCACAGCTATGGGTAAAATATAAGGATAGACTGAATTCTATAGCTTTGGTTGGCAACCAGTTCACTGCAGAAAGTAATGGCAGCCTACTGTAGGAATTCTTCTGTTGAGTCAATCATGAATTGAAAAGAGACATGATCACCCAAGCATGCCTTATGCATATCACCTAAAGAAGGAAGTGTCTATTAATTGTTCATAGGATAATTCTTTATATATAAGAATGATATAGTGTTAATCTATGCAAAAATTGTTTATTATAATCATAATTATTGTTAGAAGTACTGTTGTTATATTTCAAGGCAAATGAATGACAAAGTAGAAAAATTTCCATGTCAGGTGTATTGTTCTTTAGGACTTCATTGAACTAATAATCCTAAAGGGCAATGAAGTCCTAAAGGATGATGAAGTCCTAAAGGGCAATGAAGTCCTAAAGGATGATGAAGTCCTAAAGAGCAATGGTGTACTAAAGGGCAATGAAGTCCTAAAGGATGATAAAGTCCTAAAAAGCAATGGCGTACTAAAGAGAAATGATGTCCTAAAGGATGAAATGAGTGACATAGAATTTTTCCATTTGCCATATTCAAAGCATCAGAAAATAAATTAAAAAGAAGTGCTAAAAATTTCTTGGGCTGTCATAATCCCCAATATCTGATAAAATTATCAAACATTTTCTAAATGCAAAAATTTTCTAAGAAAACAAGATGAAGATAGTGAAGATATCCAAGAATATGAACCAGTGAGTAATCATTAAGGAACTTGGAATGTCATTTCAGAAATCTTTTTGAAGTCTCAATGCAGTGGAAGTGTTTTGAATTGACCAAACTATGATTGCATCTGAAAGCTGTAACATAAGATAATATGGAGACAAATCTGGACAACAAAAAAGCTCAGTGAAAAAAACTGATAGACAAGTGATGGATGAGTATGACTTGTTCAGTTTGTTGTCAGTAGATAACACTAAGTGCATTCTTCAACAACAGGAACTGAAGACATACATTTCAATGAAGAAACCAGCTTTAAACAAAAAGAATTTGAATGCAATATAAAGTTTGTCAAAGTGGGATGCAGATGCTTGGAAGATCACATTCAACAGTAAAACAAAGATGTAGTAGTATTCTAAAAAGTATCAATTAATAGGCTGACAAGAAAGTGAAATGATCCATGTTACATGACAAAAACAGTGATGGACTGTATAAAAATGATGATTAAAATTTGTTTAAAATTAATGATAGCTTAAATAGTGATATATACATTCTGTTGCTGAAGAAACATTTGATATCAGACTTGGCTGAAGGTAATATTTTTGGCATTATGGAGCTCCATATCACAGATTGAATGTAATACAACAGAAACTGATTGATGAATGTGACACTGTATTGAGAGCTCTGACTTAAATCATGGATCAAATATTGATAGAAGTTATGATGAAAATTCCTCAAAAGAATCCATACATTCCTGAGTTGTGGGAGCTCAACCAGGAACTTAATCCACATATCTGTTCCTTCCTTGTAATATGATTTCCAGTAACAACAGGTAATGTTGTTGTATTAAGATGTCAAATTCTGCTGATTTGAGGTCCTTGAAGTCTTTCTCAAATGTTTTCAAAGATGTGTATTTGTCAATTAGGGCTACAAAATTTATAGGAAGTCATGGATTTTCAGCATGATTTTTCACAATTATTATTATTATTGTTGCTGTTGTGTATTATATGACTAATCCACAATTCCATTCTGTCTATAAATTTATATAAACCTCTAATTTGGATTCATAGATAGTGAAAATATTAAAAGAAGAGAAAGATAATGAAAGGCCCTTGGCTAAGTTGAAATAGAATATATTAAATCAAAAACAAAAGCAAAAGAAAAAGAAACATTCAAACATGCAGATGTTAAATCTACTCAAGTTCATCATATTGGCAGAATTCTCTCACAAAAGAATAACAGATCTACAATAACCTCAATCTAAAAAAATCGAAAATTCAACAAAAATCTATAATTTTGTGTCTTTATTATCTGTGTTTCACCTCAGTAGGCCATAGCAAGTAAATGGAGGGATTGGTATTGTGCATATCACACTCTCTTTAAATCATCTCTAGTTCAAACTTGTGGATTCTCCATGTATCTCTTGTAACCATTGTGGGAAACCTGTAACAATCCTGAAAAATCACAAAATGTTTGTTTGCAAAATTAGGCTATTATAATGATAATGAAAGGAACTTACTGAAAAATTATCATAATCTTATTCATTATTTAAACAAGAAATGCTATATTTATGATAAGAATGATGCCACAGAGAGCAATCCAAAGGAAAAAAGATGTATACTTGTTTCATAGACTATACAACAGCATTTGGTAATGTACAGCACAAAAGCCTATTTGAACTATTAGGGAAACTTGATTCATTTGGAAAAGATATTAAAATAATACAGAGGATATACTGAGGTAAAACCACACTTGCATGCAAACAGAAAATTAATTTTATACAAAAATAGAAAGGAGTGTTAGATAAGGATGTATAATTAATTTCACTGAATTTATTCAATCTTTACAGTGCAGTAATCCTAAGAGAACTATAAGTCCTACTAGAATTTTTTATTTGTGGGCACAATATTAACAACATAATGTGATAGGTCCTGAGCTAGCATCTTGACTTCAGTCACTTTCTTACAGACATGATGTGGTTTCCCTCTGTCTTTTCTACAAATATTTTCATGGCAACTGCTCTGACAAGCTACTTTCACTGGTACCCCATCTGCATGAATTTAAGCATGCTACTAGGCTGGCATCTCGGTCCCACCCTTTCACTGTCAAAACAATTAATTGTAACTGCCTCTTCTACTCCAACAGCTTCTTCTCTCGGACATCCCAACAGTGGAACTCCCTTCCTCTTACTTGCTTCCTTGACTATTATAATCTTCAAAACTTTAAATGTAATGTCAATCGACATTTTCGGATGTCTTGATCTTGATCCCCATCCTTCTTGTTATCATTTCCTCAAACACTCCTCTTTGCTCTTACTTTCACTCTCTGTAACCCCTCTCATGCTAGTGGTACTCACACCTTGCTTGGAGTGAAATGGTTAAAAAATATACAGATAACACTGTGTTGATGGCGGATGCAGAAAGGAAACAAAAAGGAGTTCCTAAAGAAGGTAAAAAACTAACCATTGTAAGTAGATAGAACCAATGGTTGTAAGCAAGAAGAACAGACCAGGATGTAAGATAAGAATTGAAGATGTCAAAATCAAACAAGTATAGAAGTTTAAATATCTGTGAAGATTTTAATAGAAGACAGAAAACTGTGATACTGAAATCTGAAGGAATACTGAAATACTGAAAGATGCCTTTCCAAAACTAAAGTATTAGGTTTGATTGATTGATTTTTTTATGGTTTATCAACTTTTGCAGTTTATTTAAAACAAGAAAATATTTTTAGATTATAAGAAATTTTGATGGATAATAACAATTTACTGATATATACTATAAACTGACCCATAGCTGGGGATAAAAGATGTGGATTCATGCCTTTACCAAAGGGTTTTGCATGTAACAAACTCAACTGGTATTGGAATTCAGTCCTCTCATATGGCTGGACATTTTCCTCACAGATGAAGATGAGACTTTAGGCAATAGAGATGTGATTCTACAGAAGGATGCTGTATTTGAAGATAATGAGGAATACCATGATCTGAAAATAATGAGGAATTTTTAAGTTAAATAGAAAGAAAAATTAAGCTTACATTTAGAATCAGAAAGAAGAAATTGAAATTTCTAGGACATATAATGAGGAAAGAGAACTTGGAGATTTTGACACTCACAAGGGAATATTGGAGGCAAAACAAACAGAAGGAAATAGGAAGTAACTTATCTAATCAGAAGGAAATAGCAATTAGCCAATCTAATCTGAAGGGAATAGCAAGTAACTTATCTATTCAGAGGGAAATAGCAAGTAACCTATCCAATCAGAAGGAAACAGCAAGAAACCTATCTATTCAGAAGGGAATAGCAAGTAACCTATCTATACAGAAGGGAATAGCAAGTAACCTATCTAATCAGAAAGAAACAGCAAGTAACCTATCTATACAGAAGGGAATAGCAAGTAACCTACCTATACAGAAGGGAATAGCAAGTAACCTACCTAATCAGAAAGAAACAGCAAGTAACCTATCCAATCAGAAGGAAACAGCAAGCAACCTATCTATTCAGAAGGGAATAGCAAGTAACCTATCTATACAGAAGGGAATAGCAAGTAAACTATTTATTCAAAGGGGAACAGCAAGTAACATATCCAATCAGAAGGAAACAGCAAGCAACCTATCTATTCAGAAGGGAATAGCAAGTAACCTATATATACAGAAGGGAATAGCAAGTAACCTTTTTATTCAGTGGGGAACAGCAAGTAAGATACCTATCGATATAGAAGGGAATAGCAAGTAATCTATCTATTCAGGGGGAAATAGCAAGTAACCTATCTAATCAGAACGAAACGGCAAGTAACCTATCTATTCAGAAGGGAATAGCAAGTAACCTATCTATACAGAAGGGAATAGCAAGTAACCTATCTATACAGAAGGGAAATAGCAAGTAACCTACCTAATCAGAAAGAAACAGCAAGTAACCTATCCAATCAGAAGGAAACAGCAAGAAACCCATCTATTCAGAAGGAATAGCAATAACCTATTCATACAGAAGGGAATAGCAAGCAAACTATTTATTCAAGGGGAAACAGCAAGTAACATATCCAATCAGAAGAGAAACAGCAAGCAACCTATCTATTCAGAAGGAATAGCAAGTAACCTATATATACAGAAGGGAATAGCAAGTAACCTTTTATTCAGTGGGGGAACAGCAAGTAAGATACCTATCGATATAGAAGGAATAGCAAGTAATCTATCTATTCAGGGGGAAATAGCAAGCAACCTATCTAATCAGAACGAAACGGCAAGTAACCTATCCAATCAGAAGGAAACAGCAAGTAACCTATCTATTCAGAATGGAAATAGCAAGTAAGGTATCTAATCAGAAAGAAACAGCATATAACCTATCCAATCAGAAAGAAACGGCAAGCAACGTATCTATCAGAAGGAATAGCAAGTAAACTATCTATTCAGAGGGAAAATAGCAAGTAACCCATCTAATCATCAGGAAACGGCAAACAACCTATCTATTCAGAAGGGAAATAGCAAGTAACCTATTTAATCAGAGGGAAACAGCAAGAAACCTATCTATTCAGACGGGAATAGCAAGTAACCTATGTATACAGAAGGGAATAGCAAGTAACCTATCTAATCAGAAAGAAACAGCATATAACCTATCCAATCAGAAAGAAACGGCAAGCAACGTATCTATCAGAAGGGAATAGCAAGTAAGCTATCTATACAGAAGGGAAATAGCAGGTAACATATCGAATCAGAAAGAAACAGCAAGCAACCTATCTATTCAGAAGGGAATAGCAAGTAACCTATCTATACAGAAAGGAAATAGCAAGTAATCTATCTATTCCGGGGTGAAATAGTAAGTAAACTATCTAATCAGAAAGAAACAGCAAGTAACCTATCTATACAGGAGGGAATAGCAAGTAACCTATCTATACAGAAGGGAAATAGCAAGTAACCTATCTAATCAGAAAGAAACAGCATATAACCCATCCAATCAGGAAACGGCAAGCAAACTATCTATTCAGAAGGGAATAGCAAGTAACATCTATACAAGAGGGAATAGCATGTAATCTATCTATTCAGAGGGAAATAGCAAGTAACCTATCTAATCATCAGGAAACGGCAAACAACCTATCTATTCTGAAGGGAATAGCAAGTAACCTACCTATACAGAAGGGAATAGCAAGTAACCTATCTAATCAGAAAGAAACAGCATATAACCTATACAATCAGAAAGAAATGGCAAGCAACATATCTATCAGAAGGGAATAGCAAGTAACCTCTCTATTCAGAAGGGAAATAGCAAGTAACCTATTTATTCAGAGGGAAACAGCAAGTAACCTATCTAATCAGAAAAATACAGCAAGTTACCTATCCAATCAAAAGGAAACAGCAAGCAACCTATCTATTCAGAAAGGAATAGCAAGTAACCTATCGATATAGAAGGGAATAGCAAGTAATCTATCTATTCAGAGGGAAATAGCAAGTAACCTATCTAATCAGAACGAAACGGCAAGTAACCTATCTATTCAGAAGGAAATAGCAAGTAACCTATCTAATCAGAACGAAACGGCAAGTAACCTATCTATTCAGCAATAAAGGAAATCAAAGGAAACGGCAATCAACCTATCTATTCAGAAGGAAATAGCAAGTAACCTATCTATTCTGAGGGAAACTGGAAATATCCAATCAGAAGGAAACAGCAAGCAACCTATCTATTCAAAATACAGAATGGCAATCAACCTATCTATTCAGAGGGAAATAGCAAGTAACCTATTTATTCTGAAAGAAACAGCAAGTAACCTATCCAATCAGATGGAAACAGCAAGCAACCTATCTAATAACCTATCTATACAGAAGGGAATTGCAAGTAACCTATCTATTCAGAAGGAAATAGCAAGTAACCTATCTAATCCGAAAGAAACAGCAAGTAACCTATCCAATCAGAAGGAAACAGAAAGCAACCTAGCTATTCAGAGGGAAATAGCAAGCCACCTATCTAAGGAAAAAGAAACAGCAAGTAACCTATCTAATCAGAAGGGAATAGCAAGTAACCTATCTATACAGAAGGGAATAGCAAGTAATCTATCTATTCAGAGGGAAATAGCAAGTAACCTATCTAATCAGAAGTAAACGGCAAGCAACCTATCTATTCAGAAGGGAATAGCAAGTAACCTATCTATACAGAAGGGAAATAGCAAGTAACCTATTTATTCAGAGGGAAATAGCAAGTAACCTATCTAATCAGAAAGATACAGCAAGTAACCTATTCAATCAGATGGAAACAGCAAGCAATTTAGCTATTCAGAAGGAAATAGCAAGTAACCTATCTAATGAAAAAGAAACAGCAAGTAACCTATCTAATCAGAAGGATACAGAAAGTAGCCTATCTATACAGAAGGCAATAGCAAGTAATCTGTTTTGCATAAATGGATGGCAGAACTTGGAAGTGGTGATGTAATAAAAAAGACAAACATTGCTATGAGCTACAAATGTTCACCCATATCTGTAATGGGCACAGTACTGTGATTTATTTTTTATATAAAGAAACTTGAAAATTTTATATTTATGTACCCTTAAACCAGATAATTTTTATTAGAGATTATAAATGTGTCAAGATGTTGAAACTTATAAATGTTCAAATAAGCAAATGCAACCAAAATTATTGAAATGAAACTCCAACATCAGTTATATACAAAACTATAAAATATTCTGTAAATACTTAAGTAAAAGTGAATACTGGAGATCTCTGAAGAAGTTTGTGGCCGGCTAGGTCACATGATATATGCCTAATGAATCATTTATAGGATGAGATGGGCAGTCTATCTGCATGCAATATCCGGTAATTTTAACATATCAGGGAGGCTAGCAAGATGCTATAGTTGAACATCTTTCCAGAGCCCTTCAAACCACTTGTAAATTCCATGTCATATTAAGTTACTGCACTTCACAGATAAGAGATGGTCCTACATGACACTAAGCATATATCCCATCATTATTATTGTGCACACACACACACACACACACACACACACACACACACACACACACACACACAGACATACAATTATATAAAGTGGCTACAGAAATCAGTACTGAGTAGTGATAGTGTTTCATGCTTAAGGACTTACAATTGCATTCAATTAAAAAACACAAATTGTTATGATGTGAAATTCACCTCAGTATTCACTTTTATATCCACATGTTTATATTGAACAATTGTACCCATAAATATAGCATACCTTAAAACTATATTTCATCATATACAGTACCTTCCAAAAGTACTGGAACAGCAAGGTCAATTCCTTTGTTTTTGTTGATAACTGGCTATAGAAAATTGATCAAGAAAAATTCTGAAATTTTCTTTCAAATAATTTTTATTTTCCCAAGTACTTTCAATCTCATCTTCAGAGGTTGCATATCTATGCATGTGTTGTGCATTAACACTAAATTCAAAATATTTTTTCACCACTATGCAAGGAAGGTAATTTAAAAAAAATATTTTTTAATTGTAATATTTTAATTTAGTATTTTTTATATAACACTATGCTTCTACAAACATTTAAGAACTTTGTTGATATACATGTAGTTGACTTTATTTTTGGCTGCAACTCTCTTATATAAAAGGATTCCAGAATTTTATGTTTTTGCTTGATGAAGCACTGATGTATTTTTGACTAATATCTGAGATTGAACTATGATTGTTCAAGTGAAATGTAAGCCTTTTCTTTATTGTTGCTGTAAATGAGATTGAAAGGATTAAAACTAAAAAACAAACATAATAACTAAATTATATATATATATATATATATATATATATACATATATATATATATATATATATATAATGGCTGGCTGTTCATATCCAATTATGTCTGTTTACGAGGGTGGCTAGCCAATCTCAATTGTATATGCTGGCTCAAGCACATTTTGTTTTGCTCAACAACCACAGAATCTACTTGAGGTTTATATTCCAACAATGCTGACCAGTCCTTAGTTACAGGTTCTGGAAGAGAGCACATTATGTGGCATGATCAACCATCTGAACAAGACCAGTATGCTCCAACCTTTGGTCACAATGATGTGTGACTGTGTGCTATCACAACCATTGATGAAACCTGAAATATATCTGTCTACCCAGTTTCAATGAAATGGCTTGGGTCAACCTGTGGTTTGGTTTTTAGGCACTTTCCAAAGATGCTGCATACTGGGATCAACTCCCAAAGCTGATTACATGATGAGATTTAAACCCAGGTTTCATAGTTGTAAAGTAAATGTTCTAATCAGTTGGCCACATGGCTATATATATATATATATATATATATATATATATATATATACAGGGTGTTTCAAAAGAATACGCCAAAATCATTACGCTGTTTTTTCAGATCTATAGCATTGTAGTGGACTGAATCAGTGGTTATTTGATAGAGTAGTTATCAAAGTTTGATTAGGTGTCAGTTTCACCACTGTCGTTAGTATAACTTCCAGTGCAGCTGAATTGTGGGAAGATCAATCAAAATGGCGACTTCTCAGCAGAAGGCATTTTGTGTGCTTGAGTACAGAGCACCCACATGAAACTGTTGAGCATGAAAGAGATTCCCCTAAAGTGAATGTCTTCTATGTTGTGTCTCAAGACAAGGTCTATGGTCCCTTTTTCTTTGAAGGAAACACCATTACAGGACAAACCTATCTCGAAATGCTCCAAAACTGGCTATTCACTTTACTGCAAGCAGATTCGAATGACTTCATTTTTCAGCAAGATGGAGCACCACCCCATTGGCATCTCGGGGTTAGAGCTTATCTGAATGAAAACGTGCCTCAGTGATGGATTGGGAGGAGAGGTGCTAAAGACCTTGCTCTCTGTGCTTGGCCTGCCAGATACCCGGACCTCACTGTGTGTGACTTTTTCTTGTGGGAGTATGTTAAAGACCAAGTTTATGTTCCAGCACTTCCAGCAAGTATCGATGACTTGAAAGATCGAATAACAGCTGCAATCATCACGGTGGACCGTGACATGCTGAGGCGCGTTTGGGAGGAATTCTCATATCAGCTTGATGTTGTCCATGCTGCCGGTGGTGGACACATTGAGCACTTATAAAACATGAAATGAAACTTGAATGTATATACAACACATGTGTTCATGCTAGAGGTTTGTAATTTTTTTCGTTTTTGACACATCATGTGATGATTTTGGTGTATTCTTTTTGAAACACCCTATATATATATATATATATATATATATATATATATATTTATATGCCCATGGTGTAATGATGGCTAAATGTGTTATTTGAAAATCTGAAAAAAAAATTATTTAGATTAGTGATTTTTGGGTTATTAAACATTCTGTGGGATGCCCAATTATGCTGTAACACAATTTGGACAATTTTGCTGTGAAATCCAATATATATATATATATATATATATATATATATATATATATATATATATATATATATATATATATATATATATATATATTATAATAAAAAGAAAGAACAGTAAGATATATAATCGGGTACATTATTTACATTATTCGGACTATTGTCCTCATCTTTGTCGCCATATTTATCACAACGTTTTGGCCGTTGTACGCTCTGGCCTTCTTCAGGTGGCTGGAATGTCGAACTTAGCCCTTTATTTCACTCACTGGGGTAGACTGTTCTAGTTCCATGTGCCATGTTTAATAGATGTCAGTTAT